TGTAGTTACTCAGTCAATATCACCCATACAAGTAGATGACAGAAATTATGCATTGTCTTTACTCTGTCTTTCCTTAAGAGATGTATTCAGAAATATTCATGGTAGTGTTGAGCATAAGTTTTTCCAGGAGGCTGGATGGTGCAAATTATTTGTAATGGAATATTAATCCTTTCACTCAGAAGTTAGATTTACACACAGCCCAAACAGCTGTTGGCAAGTGAGCTGTGAAGCTGAGTTACTGAAGTGTTTACTATCAATATCTTGTGTTTTTTTTTCCACTTAAGTAAGATGTTCTATACACAATAAAAAGTTTCAGTGGAAAAAAAAAAAAAAAGTATTGTTCTGAAATTGTTTTCCATCTGGGAACTCAAAATGAAAAAATAACTTTTTTTCATCAGTTTGACTGATAGCTGCTTCATATGACATTATTTCAAGACTCAGTAGTTTAAGGTGTTGTGTCCCTTAGTGTTAGTCTGAGTGTTTCATGCTCTGTTCTATAAGCAACTTTCTCCAGCAAGGAAGAATCCTTTGGAGAGATCATATAGATGTGCATTGAAAGAGGTAACCTAGAAGATAACTCCTCTGAGAGGTGCTACTGTTGTAATTCCATTAAACATCACAACAAAAAGGACAGATCAAGTGTTTTGATGTTTCTGAGAGGGGGGAGGGAAGAAATCTTACTGACTTCCATCCTAATTCACAAGGAGATGAAATACAGAAATTCTTCTATAACAAGCTACATGCTAATGTTTTTCAAAGATACTAGTCTAGACTGACAGTGGCTTTATGCTTTATAGAGCAATCTTATAATAAGTATAGAAACATAATATGTTTTGGGTTGGAAGGGGCCTCTAAAGGTCATCCAGTCCTATGGCCCTGCAATAAGCAGGGAAATCTCACACTAGAACAGATTGCTCAGAGCCCTATCAAGCCATCTTGAACGACTCCACAGACAATGCCTCCACCACTTCTCCAGTCAACCTGTTCCAGTCATCCACCATCTTCATATTAACTTTTTTTTTCCTAATGTCCAACCTAAATCTGCCCTTTTCTAGTGTGAAACCATAACCCCATGTCCTATCATCAGATGCCCTTTTAAACAGGTCTTTCCCAGCCTTCTTATAGGCCTCTTTCAGGTATTGGAAAGTAGCTATAATGTCCCCTCAGAGTCTTCTCTTCTCCAGGCTAAACAACCTTAACTCCTTTAGCCTATCTTCGTAAGAGAGGTGCTCCAGCCCTCTGATCATTTTTGTTGTCCTCCCCTGGACATGCTCCAACAGGTCCACATCCTTCTTGTGTTGGGGACTACAGAGCTGGATGCAGTACTCCAGGTGAGGTCTCACTAGGGCAGCGTAGAGGAGCAGAATCACCTCTCTCGTTCTGCTGGGCACACTTTTTTTGATGCAGCCCAGAAAGCTGTTTGCCTTCTGGGCAGCAGCTGCACATTGGTGGCTCATGTCCAGCCTTTCGTCCACTAGTAAGTATCCCCAGATCTTTTTCCACTGGCTGCTCTCTAGCATGTCTCCCCCCACCCTGTATTTATGTTGCTGGTTGCCCCAGGTCAAGTGCAAGACCCTTCACTTGTCCATGTTGAACATCATGAGGCTCATCTGGGCCCACTTCTCCAGCCTGTCCAGGTCCCTCTGGATGGCGTCTTTTCCCTCTGGCATATCAACTGCACCACCCATCTTGGTGTCATCGACAAACTTGCTGAAGGTGCTCTCAATGCCACTGTCAATATCACTAATGAAGACCCCTGAGGGACACCACTTGTCACCATTTTGCATCTGGACATCAAGCCATTGACCACTACATTCTGCATACGACAATCCAGCCAATTCCTTATCCACTGAACAGTCCACCCATCAAACCCATATCTTTCCAACTTAGAGGAAAGGATATTGTGGGGAACTGTGTCAAAGGCCTTGCAGAAGTCAAGATGGGTGACACCCATAGGTCTTCCCTTGTCCACTGATGCAGGCACTCCATCATAGAAAGCCACTAGGTTGGTCAGGCATGATTTGCCTCTAGTAAAGCCATGGTGGTTGTCTTGAATCATCTCCCTGTCTTCCATGTGTCTTAACGTGTCTTCTAGGAGGATCTGCTCCATGATCTTCCCAGGCACAAAGGTGAGGCTGACCAGTTGGTAGTTCCCAGGGTCCTCCTTTTTGCCCCTTTAAAACATAGGCATTCTTTCTTCCAGTCACTAGGGACTTCACCTGACTGCCACGACTTTTCAATATCATGAAGAGTGGGTTGGCAACTACATCAGCCAATTCCTTCAGGACCCTCGGATGCATCTCATCAGGTCCCATGGACTTGTGTAAAGGGAATAAAAAAAACCTCCATGATGTGGCCTTTTAAATCTCGGGTTTGAGGTCTTTTTAAAGTATTAAGCTCTGCTTTATTTCAGTTGGCTGTTATTGGGATGGAACTTCTTACTGTTGCTAAGAAATCAGGATTTACTTAAGCTAAATGAGTTACTATTTTTCTCTAAATAAATTACTTTTTGAATAACAAGAGTGGGATAGGGAATTATATGCATGATTTATTTTTAAAGAGCAAAGGAAAAAGAAATACTTTCACAAATCTTTTTTTTTTTTTTTTTTTTCCCTGAAAAACATTGGTTCGTTGGTTTTTTGTCTGAGCATATGAGAGACTACATTTCTTTTTTTTTTTTCCAGTTCCAGTTTTCAAATTCTTTTTGTCCTTAACACCTTGTTTGAGAAATCAGTGATGTTTGGATATATTCAACTAAGTACCACTTCTGGGAGTCTGGTACTTTTTCTTCTTTCACAAGCATGTTTGGAGAGGACTCTATGGAGCTTTCTCTATGATGAGAACGTGCCCCCACACACTTTATGTGAAACTTTAAAGGAAACTTTCCTCGTTCAGAGAGAAGAAGACTTCTGTCTCCTCAGTCTGAATTGCAGTCATAGTATGGTAGGAGTTGCAGGATATAGTTGCCCTGAACTATTGTCATGGTCATCTCAATGAGGATAAAAATATAGCTATCCTTATGGGAGCTTTACACTGCATAGTTTATAACAGTACACTCTGATGTGTCTAATTAGACTGTATAAGCTGCTTCACGTCTGCTACTAAAGGGAAAATTTCTTATGGTGTCTAGTCAACAGAGAGCTCTCAGTATGTGATTTAGCACTGAAATTAAAGCATAGTTTCCCATTTGATTATTAAGCTGTTTGTGACTTTTAAGGATACTTTTCAATCCGTCATTTCTACTAGTTGTAAACTCTCTGCCATGGTTTCTTCCTCTTCTCTGGTAGATACAGACTAACAAAAACACATCTATTTAAACTTAAAAGGGAACAAATAAAAATAATTCAAATTAGAGTATGTAAACTTTTGCTCTTGTTCAGTCTATTTCTTTGACTGTCAACTTCTGTCTCTGAGTCTCAATTATTGAGACATAACAAATGTGATTGTCATTAATAAACTGAAAGGAACAACTTCAGAAAAAAAAAAAACAACAAAAAAAAACACAGAAAAAAAACCAAAACAACAACAAAAAACAAATCAGGGTAAGAAACAGGATAAAAAATAGGGTGGGGTTTTTTTCCATGCTAATTTGGAACATTCATCCAACTTGTAGCTTGTGAAAGTAGGGTAACTTCCACAAGACAATATTTAAGAAAATATATACATGTATTTATAGAAAAACAAATATCTCCCTAGTCTCTTGTGCATACTAATAAATTAAAAACATTTTAAAGAAGGAAAACAAGTACATATTTCTTCAGTAATATTATCTAAGGAACCAGCCTAGAAAAAACAGTGAACATTTTATAGGCAAAAAGATCACAGTGGTGATCAGAGCCAGAAAAAAATCATACTTACTCACCTGTTGCATACTTCTATATACATGGAGAAAAGGTGGGTGGGTAAAGATGAGGTTGTGGGACACATTTCTTTCTTTGGCAATCTCTCTGTACTTGTGCTGCAGTTGGAAGATGCCCACAGTTTGATGCTCATGCTGTTTGATAGTTGAAAGATATGACACCTCTGTGTCAAGGAGCTGGTGAGGTTGCAGACATTCTGTGGTAACTTCAGATAAAATGTCCTCTGCATAACAATCATTTCTTTTGCTGCAGGAACTGGCAGGTTTTCAGTATACTTAAGTAAGAAACAATAATCTGATCACATCAGACACACATACAACTAGTGTAAGACATTGCAACATTGACCAATTTTACCAAAAGGTCAGCATGGAGGTGGGAAGAGAAGGCAGAGCAGGGTTTGTGTTCTGCCTTGCCATGACAGGGTTTTTGCCTTTGAAGTTGACAATACAATGTTTTGGAGGAATCAAAGATATGATTCATTGGAGCAACTCTGAAGTTCTAATGATCTGTAAAGTAACATAGATGTTTCAATTGATTGTTTGGGTTTTGTTGTTATTGTCCTTGTATGCATGGTTGGAAGCCAATGAGCCCTTGCAGTAGCAAGTGCAGGGTGGTGGCTTTCTGCTATAACACACAGAGGGAGACTACTTGTGGATGCAAGTCAGGATAAACAGGAGGCATAGCTCTCTGAAGTATGAAGTCTCTTTGCTTGGAGTATGCCCTTTACTTGAAGTACTAGGTGCAAAAGAAAGGAGTAAGAACTTCAGCATGATATGGCAGTAAATGCCTTGTTCCCAGGGTGGAGCAGAAGTGGGATTTCATGCTCCACCTTGCAAACATATGGGTTCTTTGAGATCTCTGATCCTGTACAATCCTCTGTATCTATCTACACTTGAGCACATATTCAAACAAAAATAAGCACTCAAAGCCACGCTGTTGCTCACTTTTCATCAGGGTTCAGAAGAAGTGATGACAGTTTTATTTCTTGACTCTTCACTACTGACCTACTAAGAAGATATTTTTATTATTGTTTTACTGAATATCATGTGATGATGGGAAAATGGTTTGCTCTGTGTCTCAATTTTAGACAGATTTCCTCTGAAATGCTGCTCTTACTGAAGTTTTGACTTTTTCTTACAGGCTGTGCCTTCCTAACATATTGCGAAAGAGAGTCTGCTCTAAAGGCCCAGAGTGCACTGCATGAACAGAAGACACTGCCAGGGGTGAGTCCAGATTGATAACTTAAAAAATAATAAAATTTAAAAATAAAAAATAAATCTAAAATTGGTTACATATGGAGTTCTCATTTTGGCTTTGGAAGCATGTTTCTAGTTGCTTGGATGCTTTGCTGTTTGCATTGTGCTCATATAATCAAGATACCACCAACTGACCCAAACATTTTCCATGCACAAAATGAAAAGCCTTTTCCTCACATTGGGAGTTAGGAAAACAGTAATTAACTGGTTACAGGCTGGACTCTACCAGCCTTACTCAGCTGAGGAAAGGCTTTAGAATTCTGACCACTACAATGAAATATTAACAGTGGTCAACAGGTGCTACCTCTTACTATATTTCTTCTCTGAAGCGAGGTGCGGCAGCAAGAAATCAAGAAACAGATCACATTATTGAGTTATCACAAAATGGAAATATATTCCTGATGACAAAGTGGTTTGACTCAGTTACTTTAGTATTCAAGCAGCTGTAGCAGATTGCAAAGGCAGTGAGACAAGGAGGAAAGAGAGAGATGAGAGACGAACACAAGATAATGAGGAAAATTATTCACATGAGCAAGATCCAAGGTTCAGACAACATAAGCAGAACTAAAAATATAATCAACATTATATGGGGAAGACTTGCCCTGCTGGAATGGGTTTCCAGTTTAGCAGTATTGTGGAGGAGGGAGAGGGAGAGCGAGAGAGAGAGACTATTTAGATTCAGCCAAGGTAGATGGATTGGAAACAGCAGAGTTCAGTACTCCTGTAGCTGGAATAGGCCTGGTTTCACAATGGCACAAAAGTCTGTGATCAAGCAATTATGATCCAGAGGGCTTGGGGTTTCAGGTAAACTGAGAGGAAACTGATCCAGAAGTCTGCCTTTATTAGCAATGACTGAGTCCTGCATACCCATAACCTACCTTTCCACAAAACCCAAGACACATCGGTTGCTCTATGTTGATGAAGAAAGTGTTGATTCTGTTCTGCTTGTTTCCATCACCCTGGTTCTATTTACCTACCTCTATGCCACCTTACCAGTATGGAGATGCCCACGCACTTGCTCATCTATATCTATCTTTGCTTTAAAGGCCATACCTTATGTAAATATATACATACTTCATTCCCTAAAAATACATTTATGTCAGCTGAAAACTCCCTCTGAAATATTTTTTTCCAGAAACTTGTTAGCCACTGATTGAAAATAACTTGAGTCTTGTGAAGGTGTAAGGTTTTGTTGGTTTTGTTTGTTTTGTTGTTTTGTTTTTTGTTGTTTTTTTTTTTTTAAATCTAATAGGTGATGTTTTCATTTTACATCTCTCTCCTCTGAATGATAGAATTGGATGTACAAAAAATGAAAATATTTTGAATAAGGATGTTTCAGGTAACATTTTACCTTAAATTTCTTGAAGTATGCATGAAATAAAACATATATTTATCAAAACTAGAGATATACTTGTGATGAATAAGGTACTGTGTTGTTACAAGATACTAACCAGAATTACAGTTGTTTTCACTGAGACTAATATCCTCATTGGAAGCTAAACTTCTCACTTGCATACGGGGCTCATATTTTCCCTATGAGGTTAAAATCTCATCCTGAAGTGTATGATGTGAATATTCCCAAGAAGACGGTGGTCCAGTGAGACTAAGTTGGAGAAGGAGGGCAAGTGATAATTAGCAATTTATTTATTTATTTGTTTGTTTGTTTGTTTGTTTATTGCTTCTTTATGTGTCCACAGATCTGAATCTCAGTCTGAATTTTAGATATTTAAAATCACAAAACTTTTAAAGTCAAACTGTTATCTTGGGTAGTGGCAAAATTCATTCAGCTTCTGCATTAGGATCCAGACTGCCTTCAGAGGTTATGCTGACTGATTTTATACTAGAGGCAAAACATTTCTTCATTGGTTTATGTAATTTTTATCACTTTTAACCCATACTGACCACACTGATTTCAGAAGTTTTTTGGGTTGTTTTTGTGTTGTTTTTTTTTTCATTTTAGATTTTGAGGTGACATGTCAGCATCTGATTCAGTTGGGAACAGTGAATTCTCTGCATAAAATAGCAACCAGATTTTTAAGAGTTTTGAGCATTTAATTCTCCCATCCCCTTTCATTTCCAGTTCTGTTTGTTTCAGGATGAAGGCTTACTTTCTATCAGCAAAACCCTTTGCATATAGCTTTCTGCCAAGTTTCTAAACTCATCTGCTGAATGATATCCCTGTGGTTTATTTAAGGAAACCAGATCTGTCTCTTGATAAACTGTCATGCCTGGGTACTGTTTTATGGTTCCTATGTGAGTAGCAGAGAATTATTTATGACTTACCTGACTGTTCTTGATAACATCCACCAACAATATCAATCATAGTTAAACACCATAAACTAAAAAACATTCGTAAGGACAGGGGTCTAAGTCCTCATGCATGTGGGTTCACAAATGACACATATGTAAGACCGTTTCTTGAGCCTCTATTGTGACACAAACAATGCTTCTGTGTGTGTGTGGTGAGTGGGGACAGGGGGGCTGTGTGTTTGTGTGTATCAAAAATCATTAACAAGCCTAGTATATGAAAAAGAGAAAATAGTACTACAGTGAGCTGTTGAATCAAGACACTTCTTTCCCATCCCCCAGTAAACTGTGTATCTGTCTGCTGTTGCAATATTGCAGTTTGTGTTCTTCATATTATAAAGCACAGAATTCAGTCATTTTTAATATTATGCATATGAATGCTAATGTATGGAAATGGTAAGACATGAAGAGGTTGTGTCCAGATTCAGATGCCTTGCCTCTTAGCTATGTATCACTTTGTGTTTAGTAGAGTGGCTACATGCACATATTTTACAGTAATTACTTTCTGAATATGCTTTTTAAGATGACAGAAATATGTTTCACATATTTCTGTGTTATATGTGGGACATAAAGTCATCTTGTGGAATAAACAAAATACTTCCAAGCAGGTATGTGCTGATTAATAAAGTCTTTACAGCACTTTGTTTTTGGGCAGGAAGGAATCTTTATGGATGTTTTGAACCAACTAGAAAGGAATGCAGACCATAAAATTATTACTTGAGGTCTCTTAATCTAAATGAATTAGGCTCTTTTGGACAGTTTTAAATACAATTTGCCTAAAATGGAAGGTGTAGCAGGTTGTGTCTGTGTGTGTGCGGAGCACTTTGTGAGTGTCGGACAATTCAAATTCTAGCGTTTATTTGAGATTGTGTATTTTTACATATAATGGAGTAGCTGGATGATGAAGTATATTAGTCCTTTAATAATTTATAGAAATGCTTTGATGTTGCAGTAATTACATTAAAGGTCACATATCAAAGGTAATTTGGCTGAGCAGCTGCGATGGTTTCTCAGCAGCAATCAATACCGCTGTCCATGGTGCTGATTTCACCAAGGGGACCGCCAGATTAAAGGAGGCTTATTACTCGCCAGACAGGCACATGGGAAATCAGGAACAGATTGTAGAGATGCGCTATTCTCTTTCCCCACCTATAATTAACACTGTTCACCATAATCTGCTCTAATCCTTCATAGTGGGAAACCACTTCCTCCCTCCCTCCCCAGTGTTATAAAAAACAAATTATGTGAGGAAGAGAGAAAGTAAAAGTTGATTCACCCTTGAGATATTCTGATATATCTTGCAATGATATAAAAATATAAATTCATTATCAAAAAAACACCCCAGTGTCTTGGGGAAAGAATGGGGAGGAGGGGAAAGTGATCTAGACAATGACAGTGCAGGGCATGTGACAATTATATCAAAATAAGAGAAATAAAATTATGTTTTAAGTGCAGGAATTTTGATTACAAATTATAGTGAAGCCAACTTTTTTCCCCCCTTTCTTTTTTAGTTCTGAACTGAATGTCAGAGGATAATGTTGAGAAATGTAATTACGCTATCAATATCTACTTTTTTTTATAGCACAAATAAACTGAGCTTGTGTATGATAAGCACAGCAAATATTTTTTTTTTTTTAACTTTTTTTTTTTTTTTAACTTTTTTTTTCCCTCTAGTTCTTTGTGGCTCTCTCAGGCAATTAGAGAGAACAGTCCATGTATACTTGGTTGAAGGTACTTCCTCTTTGCATAATGTTAAAACCTCTGATTAAGACTTGCAAAAGATAACTATGAAACTAAGTAGCTAAGTAACTGTTAAACTCAGCAATCTCTGGACTTCATTCAGGCTGCAAAATAGACTGGGTTTTCTTATTATGTGTATTCCTCTCAAAAGGGGTAGTGGAACTATTGTTATGCTAAATTTCTCAGTACATAATTAGTTTTGTTCCTAACTGTTCTGATATTCTTTGTCTCTTTTGTTATCTCTCTCTCTCTCTATATATATATATATAAAAGGCATGTTATTTATCATGTGCAAAAATATTCAACTTTAACATTGGAAGACAGGTGAGCTCATAAAACCCATATTAAACCCAGTTTTAAATACACAAACAAAAGAACCCTCTCTATTTAAGCTACAGTTACTCTTAGCTTAAAAGAAAAATAAAAAGTTTTCCAGTGTTATTCAGCATATCCAGCTGTATATGTGAGGAAAGACACCTGAGCATAGGGAAGCAGAGAAGAGAGCATATCTTGCAAAATCTGCACCCTCTTGAATCCTAGTAATAAGGCTTAAATGAGACATAAGTGTCATGTGGAGTTCAGAAGTCATATGCATATAGTGTGGATTTCAGTGTTCAAGCAGACTTGCTGTAATTTTAAAGTCTAACTGTCTCTTTTCAATATTTCAAAGCTTTTTCCAAAAGTGTGTTAGAAAACTATTGAACCACATACCACACTGCACACTGTGCTATTCCAAAAATGGTATTATATTCCCACACCTTCCCACTTCAAAAGTTTTCTCTACCAATGTAAATTGCAAGTTGGTCAGCAGTGGTAGCCTGGATAGGTTCCATTGATTAAAGTAGCCTGCT